AACTTAGTACATGTTCATTTGTATGTAAGTTAAATGTGAACCAGAATCTCTCTTGTTTTTCTCCTGGTGGCAGTCCCTTGGCTAAACGAAGAAAGTGGAATGCCTGACCCAATGTCTGATGACGGAAATGTGATAGAGGAGGGCCTCTAGGGCTCTCTGAGGAGACCCTCAGGAGAACCGGCCAGTACAACAAAGGAGAAGGCTTACTCTCAAGGGGGGAAGCTCCCAATACACAAGCGCATTTAAAAAAGTGAAACACGTTCATGGGTGACAGATTCATAATGGGATTATTGATTCAAACACGCATCCTTTCTCTCCCTTGCATTTCCCCCCTCCCACTCCAAAAATTGTCGCTGACGGCTGGGTAGTGACTCGGGGAGGAGGGTAGTGGGGAGAATAACTTGGCTGCAGCTGGTGCTGAAAATGACCAGCACCAGACAGAGGAGGGAGGCAGCCTCCTCCCTCACCCCAGATCTCCCTCCTTGAGCCTCAGTGTCTTATTCGTCACGAGAAGCACAGAACTTCTGACCCGCTGGAGAAATGGAGTGGATTCAGTGTGGTGAGGAGTCCGGCCCCCATTAGCAATAACAGTACGAGCCATGACGTGAGGAGGGCCCGGGGTGAGGTACATGCCCAGTGCTCTAAAAAAATATCACCTCCTGGGCGCCTGGGTGGCTCAGTTAGTTAAGCGACTGCCTTCAGCTCAGGTCATGATCCTGGAGTCCCGGGATCAAGTCCCGCATCGGGCTCTCTACTCGGCAGGGAGTCTGCTTCTCCCACTGATCTCTCTCCTCGCATGCTCTCTCTCTCTCTCTCACAAATAAATAGATAAAATCTTAAAAAAAAAAAATCACCTCCTTCAGTCACTGGCCCAAACCCAATGACAGCTGGGACTAGATCCGTCCTGTTCCCTACATATTGCCAGTCCCAAATACCACATCCTCCTGCATGAGGATAATAATAACCAACACTCACAAGAAATCTTATTTTGTTCCTAAAATATCATATAGTAAACTATGTCAATATTTGAAAGTTATGGGAAAAAAAGAACCTTATTTTGTATACTCACAGTAGAGCTTTGTGCACATTTCTAATCTTCCTGACAATCCTAAGGGGTAGGTACTACCATTACCCCCATTTTATGGATGAGGAAACTGAGGCACAGAAGGCAGAGAGAAGTTGGGTAACTCCCAGGGTCATTAAATAGGTGATAGAGAAGGAGTCTGAATGTGGAAGTCTGGCTCTAGAGTCCAGTTGACCACTTGACTGCAGTGCTAACTCAGGGGTCATGGGGTGTCCCCAAATCCAGTATCAGGCTGTTTTATAGGTAAAGCCATCAAAGCTAAGAGAGAATTTAATGGTTGACTCGAAGCCCCAAAGCTGTTAGGTAGCAGAACCAGGATTTGGATCCAGTGTGACCTAGCTAAATGTCTCCAAAAGGGGACATTTCACTCCCCCCATCTATAACCCAAATTCTTAGCACCCACCCCTGCCAGGAGTCTGTCAGGAGTTCAGGCCTGAGGGTTGATGCTGGGACACTCCCCCCATCCCGCACACAACCTGCAGTCTCTGGAAAGGTGTCTCTCAGAGGGCCTGGGGTTGCCCCCATCCCCAACCTCCTTGGTCAAGGTCATAACTATCTCCTTGGGGCAGGGAACTGGCAGCTTCAGATACTGGGTTTGGTTAAGAGATTTTTCATCCTCATCTCTTGGCAAGAGCCAAGATTCCATCACTCACACACTTGTTTTCCTTCACTCGCATCCTTGCCCCTTGGCTGGCATCTGGCTCATCATGGATGTCCCGTGATAAGTAAGCGACAGGACAGATGCCATAAACATAGCAACCCCATTCATCCTCCCAGGGTAGGCTGGCTTGGAGAGGAGGCCAAGAGAGGGAGGAAGTCAAAACGCAACAGCTTTTGACACCAGACTTGAGGTTGAGTCTGGCCTCTGCCACTTACTAGCTAGGTCACTTGGGACAGGTTACCTAACCTCTCTGGGCACTTAAGTTTCCATATTCATAAAATGGGGATAGAAATTCTTACCTGAAGGGCACCTGAGTGGCTCAGTCAGTTGAATGTCTGCCTTCAGCTCAGGTCATGATCCGGGGGTCCTGGGATCCAGCCCCGTGTGGGGCTCCCTGCTCAGTGGGAAGCCTGTTTCTCCCTCTCTCTCTCTCCCTCCACCTCTGCCCCCAGCTTGTGCTTTCTCTCTTGCTCTGCTCTCTCTCTCAAATAAATAAATAAAATCTTAAAAAAAAGAAAGAAAGAAAAGAAAAGAAATTCTTACTTGAGTCAAAGCCATTGGTTTGCACACCTCTAGGGGGTGCCCCTCACATTGTTGTCTATGTGAGTAGTGCCACATGGAACCCAGCCCCATAGACCGCAAGGTGAGGGACGCCTCAAGATTGCGTGTCCTTGGGGCGCCTGGGTGGCTCAGTGGGTTAGGCCGCTGCCTTTGGCTCGGGTCATGATCCCAGGTCCTGGGTTCAAGCCCCACATCGGGCTTTCCGCTCAGCGGGGAGCCTGCTTCCTCCTCTCTCTCTGCCTGCCTCTCTGCCTGCTTGTGATTTCTCTCTGTCAAATAAATAAATAAAATCTTTAAAAAAAAAAAAAAGATTGTGTGTCCTCGAGTGGGCACCTTGCAAGTAAGAGTGGCTATGCCATATATGTCAACTATACTTAGAAAAAAAAAAAAGAGAAGGAAAAGGAGAAGAAAAAGAAAAAAACAAGACTAGCTATGTCAACTTTCAGATGCGGAACAAAGATATCAACAGGGTTCTTGTGAGGACAGAGGTCATGCCACATAAAGGCGCTGAGCGACATAAGTGCACGGTACAAATGGCATTATTACCGGACAAGGAGGCAGCCCTCGGGGTGTACAGTGCACCTGTCCCAGACACCTTCTGCACAGAGAAGCCCCCCAGCCCAGTTCCAGCTCTTGTGTGGACCCGGCCGGAGTGAGTGGAGACCTATTTCATACCAGCCCTGAGAGCAAGGCCTCAGTTTCCAGCCTCCCTGGGGTTCCCTCTCCTCTGTCAGTTTGGCCTCATGGCAACCGCAAAGGGTACCAGACACCTTGACGGCAGGCTGGGTGAGGAGCTTTCCATTCATTTGGGGGTTTGCAGCTGACTAGCCAAGAAATCCTCAATAGAATCTCTCCCCTAGTCTGGTTTTCCAGTCTTGGCCTAAAGCAACCAACCCTGTCTTTACCTTGCCTCATAGGGTGACTGTAATTCAAGAAATATTTAAAGCCATCAAATTAACCAAACTTATTTGTGAAACAAGGAAATAAGAGGTACTCCTCTTAAGAAACCTAGCAAGAGGAGTGCCTGGGTGGCTCAGTGGGTTAAAGCCTCTGCCTTCGGCTCAGGTCATGATTCCAGGGTTCTGGGATAGAGCCCCACTTCGGGCTCTCTGCTCAGCAGGGAGCCTGCTCCCCCCTCTCTCTGCCTGCCTCCTCTGCCTACTTGTGATCTCTGTCTGTTGAATAAATAAATAAAATCTTTAAAAAAATAAATACACATATAAAAGAAAGCTAGCAAGAAAGATTGATTTAAAACCTAGTGTGTATTAGAGACAGGAGAGAAGGGAATGCCAAGGTAAGTAAGACAGTCCCTAGCCCCAAGAATGTCACAGAAGAATTAGCTGAGCTGGTGGAATGCTGGTACAGAGAGGTCCACAGCAGGTGTGTGTGTGTGTGTGTGTGTGTGTGTGTGTGTGTGTGTGTAATCACCTTCACCTGACACATTTGGGCCCTAGGGGATCCTGCTCCCCGCAGAGCCCTCAAGCAGGACACCAGTGACTCCACTGCCCACTTTGGGAAGTCAGGCTTTTCTCCAGGTAGGGCCCTGCCTCCCATCACTTTTCAGCTGGCCCTGTTGGCTGCAATTCTGCAACTTCCAACACAGGAGTTAGTCAAGGGATCCTTCTCAACTGGGGACAGAAGGTCATCTTTTAATTGCCTCTAACACCCTCTCTCCAGCCTGCTCCCTCACATGGACAATCCCATCTTTTCCGTTCTGTCTGCTCAGTGAACTCGGAGGTATTGCAGACCCCTTGCCTCATCTCTCTGATTTACAGCGGGTTCCCTAGCTCCCAGCTCAGAGCTGGTAAGGGGCTCAACAGGCATTAGCTGAATGAATGGGTGGCAGAGTACATGAAGTCCTTCCACGAAGTTGGGAACACTCATGCTTACTCTTGGAAGATCTTCAGATGCCCATGGTTTTTCACCAAAAGAAATCACCACTGTTCTAGCCCGCCAGGAACCCCTACTCCTGATTCCTTTATCTTTCTTTTATTCATTGGGCCAATATTTACTGAGTAGTTGTTCTGAACTAGGCACTTTATCCTGTGCTGCAAGGCAAGTGTGGAGCTCTTCCCACCCATTCCTCTCCCTCTAAACACGCTGACCCCTTCTTTCTCCCCTTGCCACCACACAGCCTGTCCAGGGCACTTGCTCCCTTCCTTGTCTGCCTTTTACACAAGGATCCCATACTTGGTCTTCTTTGACCTTGTCAGTCTGTACTGGATTTAAGGGAGGGAGGACTCCCAGTCTCTAACATTGGCCCTCCGCCCATCCTCCCACCCCACCCCAGGAACATGTCCCAGCCAGGCTCTCCCCAGAATCCCAAGCCACCCAGCCTCCTGGAACAGCTCTGAACCTTGTTGTCTCATTTCAGCCCCTGGGGTCCCTGCCCATGGGCGTCCTGCCGAGTCCACCCTGTGCCCGGTCCCCAGCGCCCTGGCCCCTCGGTGCTGCCTGCGGCGGGAGCTGCCAGCTTTTTGGAATTCCTAATGCTCCTGGCCCCGGTGATTGGCTGCTCAGCTCTGACCCCACTTGGGCTGCCGCCTGGTTGGATAAAAGGGGAATCTCCTTGGGGCTCCAGAGCATTAAACACCGGAGGGGGCACCTGGGACCAACTTCGCAAAGCGGGGAGCCCGGCGGGGGGGTGGGGGGAGCAAAAGACCTGCGGCCTCAGCCCCTCCAAAGAGCCGGGAGATGACGGGGAAAGCGGGGGAAGCGCTGAGCAAGCCCAAATCCGAGACAGTGGCCAAGAGTACCTCGGGGGGCGCCCCGGCCAGGTGCACGGGGTTCGGCATCCAGGAGATCTTGGGTTTGAACAAGGAGCCCCCCAACTCCCACCCTCGGGCTGCCCTCGACGGCCTGGCCCCCGGGCACTTGCTGGCTGCACGCTCTGTGCTCAGTCCCGCAGGAGTGGGCGGCATGGGGCTACTGGGGCCTGGGGGGCTCCCCGGCTTCTACGCGCAGCCCACCTTCCTGGAAGTGCTGTCCGACCCGCAGAGCGTCCACTTGCAGCCGCTGGGGAGAGCGTCGGGGCCGTTGGACACCAGCCAGACGGCCAGCTCGGGTAGGTGAGGGCGAGGCTGCCCGGCTGCCCGGCTGCCCGGCTGCCCCACTGGGGGCGAGAGCCGGAAGCCCCACGCCGTCGGCTTTCGCTTGCACCGCAAGGCCTGCTCCCCGCGCAAAAGTTCGCGCCAAGGCCGAGGGGTCGCAGCTCCGGCCTGGGGCCGGCGCGCCCGGGGCAGGCGCGGGGAGGATGCTCCGGGCTCCCGCCTGGTTTCGGCCCCAGCGTTTCCGGCCTCCGCGCAGTTCTCCGGTCCCCGCGTAGGGCCCCGCTCTGTCGCGGCATACGGCGGGGGCCCCACCGGAAACCCAGCTTGGGATGTCGGAGCCCGTGGCGCGGGCTGGGGGCCCCCAGCTTAGCTGCTCCCCTGCACCCCGGCCTTCCGGAGGACCCGCGGTCCGGGGACCGATTCTGTTCCGTGAGCTGGTCGCCCAGGAAGCGGGTGTCCGCTTCGGCCCAGCCCTGGTATCCAAAGTTGCTGTTCCTCCCTCTTTTCTCCGTTCCACAAAGCCCATGTTGGTCAGCTGGGGTTTATTTTTCACCCCACGAGCTTGGACACCCTGGCCTCTGCGGCGGCAGGAGCGGCCACCATCCGATTCCACCTAAACGCCACAATCTAGCGGATGCCCGTGCCCGGCGGGGCCCCGGGACGACTCCACCGCGCACATCCCGAACTGCTTTGCCGGCCGCGCGTCCCCACCCGCTCGGCCTCCGGCTCGTGCTCGCGCTCGGCAGTTCCCCCGATTTTTCGTTACCTATGTATTTATTTATTTATTTTTATTTGGAGGGACAACGAAAAGTGGCGCGTCGCAGCCTCTCCAGTCTCGAGCGGGGGCGCATTCCGCAGGCACTGAAAAAGGGGCTCTGCCCGGGGAGACCCCACGCTTCCCGGAGCCCGGCTCCCTGAGTCCCGGCTCCTCTCCCGGAGCCAACTTTCGGGGCCCGGGGCGCCGGAGCTGCAGGCTCGGGGCAGGGTGCAGCGCCCGGATCCCCGCCCGCCGGCCCTGCGAGCCCCTGAGGCTGCCTCGCTCCACCGCCGCCCCTGCCCCAAACGCATTGGGGCCTTTGCCTCTCTTACAACGAAATCTGTGCAAAATCTCTGGAATGGGGAGCCGGCGTGGGTAGAGCCGGCCGGGGCTAAGCGATGGAGTCGACCTCTCGGAGGGCTCCCCCGGAGGGCCGAGCAGGTCCCCGCCGCTCCTGCAGTCGGCCCCGGGTGGGGCCCTCGCGGGCTTCTGGCGCCTGACGTCCCCGGGCGCTGCCGAGCGCTCCCCCCATTCTGCCGCATGTGCCTCCGCCCGCTTTTCAGATTCTGAAGATGTTTCCTCCAGCGACCGAAAAATGTCCAAATCGGCTTTAAACCAGACCAAGAAACGGAAGAAGAGGCGACACAGGTAAGGCCCCTGCGGCGCTTTCTGTCACCTCTTCGGCTCACCTACTCCCTTGCCAGATCCTGTTTGGGGGGTGGGTCGTTCCAACCCTCTTCTCACCGACTCCTAAGTTAGAAGTCCAAGGCTGCGCCAGGGCCGGGGACACCGAACGTTGTTTGGGGATATCCGCCCGGGACCCTGGCGTCCAGCCACAACGGGTGAGGATGGTGTGTGGCCGCCGGGGAGGCGGCACCCGCCGGGCTTTTTCCTTCTGCGGGAGAAAGGAAAGGCCAAAGCAAGGCCGAACCGGAGCCAGAAAGGGGCAGGCGGCCCCCAGATTCGATGGGGCAGAGTGACTCACACCTCCCGCCCAAGCTTGCCCCTCTGCCCGCTGTCCCCGGGCCCACATCCCGCTCCCGGCATCCCTGTCCGCTCTGCCACACCCTTGGCCTTCTGCTCCCACCGTGTCAAACACCTTGAGCGCGATATATGCGCTCGGATGGGAATTTTTCGTTAGGCTTCTGCTCTTTTGTGACCCTGAGAGGGTCTCTTTCCCTCCGCGAGCCTCAGTTTCCTTGTCTGTAAAATGGGGAGGGAAGGTGTGTGTACTGGATGACCCCACCAGCACCTTCTGGAGTCGAGTGGGCTGCATGGGGGTACCGGCTACGGAGAGAATTTTTTAAAATGAATCTTCAAATAGGTATTACTGGTACAACTTTAAAATTCAGTAGGTGCTGAAAGGTATATCCTGAAAAGTAACGCCCCACCCCAGATGCACATTCCCTTCCGCATCCGCGCCGCACCTGCTAGTTCCTTGTAGAAATTTCTGGGGGGGGCGGGGGGTTTAAGGAAATAAAGAAGTGAGCTCCCAAAATCTGTCTGACTTTCTGCCAGTGCTGCTTCCAGACTCCTCCCCTGTGCTCACCGGCCAGATCTGTTTCCCCAAATCTCTCCCTGCACCCTAGTCCAGGTGGTGTGTCCACAAGGTTCCTGCTGGCTGGTGAGACATTTCTCCCCTAGGAAGCTCTCCCAGCAGCCGCCCACCCCATCCTCTTCTCCCCAGTTTGTTCCCAGCCTCTTTGCACCCCTTCTCTGGGCACTTTTCTGCATTCCCCTCTTCCTTAGCTAGCTCTTGGAAACTCCAGTATTGGCTCCCACCTTTTGAAATGGCTCTTCCTGTCCTCTAAGCCCCAATAGGTTCGGGCTGGAATGAAGGTAAACTTTGACTTGGTTTCTCAGTGACCTTGTTTATTCATTCCCTTCAGGCAACATTTTTGTTGTGTTTCGCTTTGTTTTATTTTCAACGGAAACATAGATCCTTTTAGGTCCATAGATCCATAGGTCATTTTTTTTACATTCATTCATCCAACAAATATTTATTAGAGCATCTTTTATGCCCCCCATCTCACGCTGATCCCAGGGTGGGTAATCCTGTCAGCTTCCCGGGAGCAAGGGCAGGGGCGGGGACCATAGAGGGAGGATAGGTCAGAGCCACTGGGGCTGAACCGCTTCTGTGCTGGTGCGGAAGTGGGAAGAGGGGTTCACACAGCAAGGAGAGTCCAGGAGAAAGTATTCCCTGGGTACAAGAACAGTGTTTTTGCTCCAGGACGTCTCCTTGTGTGGGCAGTTGGACTGGCTGATCCACAGCCCCAGATCTCTGCGTAAGGCTCCTGACTCCGTCCTCCCCAGATGCTCTCCCCACTGAGGAGACGTTTGGGGGTTCCGGGTGAGACAGCGCAACTCACCACCTGTCCTCGGTTTCAGCGGTTTCTGGTGTACGCAGAGAGCAGATTATTAGAGAGATCAGAATGGCTACTGATGGCTGGTGCAGCTTTTAATTAGTTTTTTTAAAATGCTTTTTTCCTGAGCTTCTCTCATTTTGGGCATTTCAGGTAAGAGCCTCTGGAGTCTAGTAATGAGAGATGGGCATCTCTTTTTCTCCCAGAAATACGCTGGGCTTAGTGGGGGTTGGAGGGGGGGAACAGGGATGGAGCAGCCTCCTTGGGAGTCTGTGGGATTCTGCTCGTCTCTGCACTGGGAAAGCTCAGCTCCTCTGCAGACGGGATGCGGCCGCACCTGAAGAGTCTGGGATTCTGCATTAAGCCAGGAGCAGGGTTTGGATCACATTTGCGGGATGCAGAAGCCTCCCTGGAGAGCACACCAGCATCGACACGAAGATTAGCTCTGAGGCAGGAATGAGGGAAAGTTTGGGGGATTTGAGGTTTGGTTTGGTTTTTTTTTTCAATGAGAGTTCTCCCAGGTGGAGGCAGGCACTTGAATGATTCTAAATAACCTCTCATCCCCTCCCTTCTTTGGCGTTGGCCAAGCCACAATACCTATGTGCCTTGGTTTCCCTAGTTTTGAGAAGACTTAAAGACTTTGATTGTTTATTCTGACAATCTGTTCCGGGGCCCTTCAGTAAGTGGCAAGAGCAAAATAGAAACCAGCAGATCTTCAAAATTCCGAAGAATTCATTTTCTGTATACATAAACATTCCATTCCCTGCCTCCCAAGAGAATAGGAGAAACAATTTAGAATCAAACCAGTCATTTTCTATAAAGGGCAGAATCTTTCTTCCTCACACATCCCCTGCATCTTCCCTCAAGACATTAAAGCCAACAGCAGCACAAGGACCCAAAGGGGCTTCCACTGGGACTTTTTCCTGGTGTTTGGTGGGGGTGAGAATGAGAGCATCAGTGAAGGATTCTAACCCTCTATGCTGGTCCCCAGGGTCAGATCCCAGAGGCTCAGGCAAAGAACATACCATCTTTACAATCTGGGTTTGTGGAATCGGGACTACATTGCCCATTGACTTGATAAGGGTACAAGATAAAGGTTTCACCTAGAAATTAAAGTCTGAATAGAGAAGAACTGGTGCCTGTCAGCGGGTGTGTATGGTTTGTGGGGAAAGGGGGAGGTCTATGAAGCTGTGATAATAGAAGTAAAATTTTGTGTTGGAGAATATTCATTTGGGTGTTGTCCTAGGGCAAAAGGATGTAGCATTTACCAGATTCTTAAAACAGATTAGGACCCGAATAGGTCAATGTAGACTGCTCTGTGGGGAGTGGGGGCTGTGTAGGTAGGTTCTCTCACAGTGACCTGGATGGAACCCTCCTGAATGGGACGCCCCCACCCCCATGAATGGCTGAGCCTGGGTGTTGGAAGGCAGTTGGAAGGTGCCTCCTTGTCTTCTGAGCACTGGAAGTGGAGGGGGGGATCTGCGGGCAACTCTGAGGAGCTACTAGTTCCGAGTTGTGGCAGAGGAAGGGGAGGTGAGGAGGAGAAAATGTTGGGATGCGTGAGGAGGTGGGAGATTCAGTTCTCAGCTGTTCAAACACTAGGGTTGTGGTTGCATTTGACCTTCCAGTGGGACTTTGAACGTGGGTGTCATTGAAAAGATCAACCACTGCCTGCGAGAGGAAACGGGAAAGCAGGTCCCAGAGGGCCTGAGGCATTTATTTATCTGGTGAGTCCCTCACTCTGTGCTTGGAAGGAAGAAGAAGGGCTTTCTACAGCTTTCTAAAATTTCTGTCTGAACATGCTTTCCCCCAAATCAATTCCAGAAAGATTCCCTAGTATGAAGTGTCACCGAAGGCTGAAAGAATGTCCTCCCAAGAAGGACAGTGTGGATCCTCAGACTTGAATGAAGGAGAACCTAGAGTGTTAAGCTACGAGTGTGTGTGAACATATGTGAGTGTGAGTGTGGTGTGTGTGTGAGTGTGGGTGGTGTGAACTCTGGGTTTGAGTTTGTGTCTGATTGTGCTGAGCCAGCCCTGGGTTTGGGGTCTGTCTAGGAGGCTAGAGGAAGGTCATTCTGTTCTCTCTGAAACAGTCTCTTTTAGTTTCTGGGTCCTGAGTGTCTGGTTTTGCTCCCCTCAGGACAATCTTTACTTCCTACCAGCTAGAAGAGCTGGAGAAGGCATTCAATGAGGCCCACTACCCAGATGTCTATGCCCGGGAGATGCTGGCCATGAAAACGGAGCTTCCAGAAGACAGGATACAGGTAACAGAGCCCCAGGTCCTTCTCTCTCCACACTCAATGAGGTATTGTCAGCCTCAGGCTCCTGGATACCTGTGACCCCATCTCCCACCCCCTGCTTGTCCTTGTGAAGAACAGTTCGGTTAAGCTGACAGGTACTTGCTGAACACCTATCATGTGAGGTGGGCACTGTTGTTGGGGGGGGGGGGGGGGACGGGGGTTTGGGGGGGGGGGGGGGGTCATCATGGGTCCTCATGGGTCCTCAAGGGGGGACTCTGTGGTGGCAGGTATCTCTTAGGTACAGCTACATGTCTGCTCCAAGGCCAGAGGTGGGTAGAAGGAGAAAGTGGCTTCTAGTCCTGACCCCATTCTGTTTCCCTTCCTTCCACTCCCCCAACCCATGAAGAAAAGGTCACCTCCTCCCTTTCTCTCTACTCCCCACCACCTCCATCCACCTGAAACTCCTTCCTCTCACAATCAGACAGCTGGCCCTGCCCTGAGCTCCTGCTCAGGTCTGGCCTGGGATGTGGCCGGGGACTCTTGCCTGCAAGTGTGGCTCATTAAGCCCTTTTCCTCTCCTACAGAGTTGTTTTTGTTTTTTAAGATTTTATTTTTAAGTAATCTCTACACCCAACATGGGGCTTGAACTTACAACCCCCAGATCGAGGGTCGCATGTTCCTCTGAATCAATCAGGCACCCCTCTCCTAGAGACTTCTGCGCCATAACTGACCACTGGTCTGGACTGGGATGTTCTCAGCTGTGCTGGCCGCAGAGCTCCCTTTCATCATCAGCAAGACCTTTCCAAGGCCAGAACACACCTCACTAGGCAAGGGTGGGTCTGCTTAATGGTTTCTCTGGGAGATGAAGTCTGATGATTTTCTGGGCAGGGCCTAGAACAGTGGGTAGGAGGAACATTTCCAGAAGATTTGGGTTTGTCTTAACTGGATCACACCCTTGAGTGAAAGCTGTTTTCATCAGTAGAATGGTCCAGAGCAGTTCATAGCTAAGGCTGGGAAAAGTGAGGGGGAGCAGGGATCCCGACTTCCTGAAACCCCTCCCAGTAAAGAAAAGCCCTTGGAGGTAGGATGTGTGTTGGGGGGAAAGGGAACCAGATAAGTTATAGGTTGCTTTGTGTTCTCTCACTGGACAACCAGAGAACTGGAAATGAGACATGAGCTACTTTTCCAGAAGAGTCTTCCTCTCCCCTGGAAATCTATTAGGAATTTCAGCTAGTGGTTTTAGACATTGACACTAACAATAAGCTCAATTATTCATAAGCAGATTATCTGTTTGGTGCCTTATCCGTGGTGGCCTGGATCCATCAGCCCCCTACCCGACTGGGTTCCAGTGGGGTAAGCCTGGGGTGTTGATTCTGAATCCTGTGTTCATTCTGAATCAAGACTGTGTGTCTGTGTGTCAGCCAACGCCAATCCAGTCGAGGTGTCATGGTAACCCCTACCTGGCCTGCGTTTGCACAAAGTTGGCTATTACAAGTGGACAGGGTGGGGTGGAGGGCTGAGAAAGTCTCCTGCTGGGAGGCCTCCCAGCGGCACTACTGACCAGTAGGAAGGAACAGCTGCTGCTTGCATTGAGCTGTCCGAAAATCTGTTCGGCCGTGGCCGTGGTGGCGGTGGGTGGGGGCGCGTGGAGGATTCTGGGGAAGGCTCTCGCTCAGCTGTTACTGCATTGCCACAGACGCCCCAGTAGGCAGATGCCAGGCTTCTCTGAGTTGTCGGGGGGCAGGGGGCAGGCATCTGTCGGGTGGTGTCTGAAGCTACAGGGGCCAGCAAGGAGGAGCTAGGGTGTGGAGTCAGTTGATTGCCCTGGGACTTTGAGGACTCTAGATCTAGGAGAACAGAGCCGAGAATCTCTTAGAGTCTTTGAGCAACACAAGGTTCTTTGGCTAAATGCTGCCTTCCAGAAGGTGTATGTGAGCTGTCACATAGCCTGGCCCAGGTGGCCCAGGCAAAGTCTCCACATGTTTCAGCGATGATCACAGCTATCATTTACGGAGCAGTTTCCATGTGCTAGGTGTTCTGAAAACACAACACCCATGGGAGAGGCAAGGAGGTACAGTGGTTAGGGACGCTGTTTCAAAGCCAGACACATCCTGGCTCCACCGTTCCTGGGACTGAGTGACTGGACAAGTGGACTTCACCCTGCAGAGCCCCTGATTCCTCACCTGTAAGATGGGGGTGACGGTGAGCCCCGCCTTGGGTGCAGGTGCCATAAAGCCTCATGTCATGTATCCTGAGTGATGCCCGGCAGGTGCCCTGGGCTCACTCGACTTCAATGCTGATCTCAGTTAGTTCTGGAGACGACCAAGGAAGCAGAAGGACAGCCCCTGGCCTAAGGCCACACAGCTAGGTGGTGGGGGACACGGGGATCTAACTCAGGTCCGCCTCAAAAGCGCACACATTCACCACCTGCCTCTTGAATCTGAAGCCTGTGTTTTGACTTGAAGCTGGGAGAGCAGAGACGGTTGGAGGTCAGGGGGGGAACCTGTATCAAACCTTCATAAAGATACTTCCTGAGTTCCAGGCATTGTTCTAAAGAAAAAAACCTCAAAAACTCACTCATAAAAAATTATTTTTTGAGTGGGCAAATTCTTGTACCTAAGCTCATGGCCTGGCTCCTCTGACTAGTGTTGTTCACGTTGGCCTCTCTTAAAGGGACACCGGCCCAAGGATAGGGAACGAAGTTTGAAGGGATTCTATTCCAGATGTTAGAGGATATGCAGCCGGTCTCAGCCTGGAGTACTTAGTAGCAACACAGGGCAGCTTGTGAAAAACCCACGCGGGGCCCCCCTGCCCAGCCATTCTGACCTAATTACTTTGGTGTAGAGTCCTTGACATCTGTGTATCTTTAAAACTCTCCAGTGATTGTGGACAGCCGGCATAAAAATCCTGCGTCAGAGACTCTGGAAAGGAGTTTCTGCATTTCATGTGTGTTCCTATGAGTGGAAGGAAGTGTAGTTTGGGGGGGACAAAGCGGGATGAGGGACAAGATGACCTGTCAGGTGTGCCGGGAAGGATGCTGCCTTGGCTGCCAGGAAATGTGGGCAAAGCTGCCCCCTACTGGACATCAGAGGCTGCAGCAAGGCCCGGCTTCTCTGAGCCTGAAGACACTGAAATATGGTGTCAGGAATGCTGACTGCATGTGGAGTGTTAAGTCATTAAGTCACTGCTGCAATGAGCTCAAATTAATCAGCTTCCAGCCGGAGGAGAGAAAGAAAGCTGGGTGAATGTGATGGGACTCGCCACATGGCTGACAGAGCCAGGCCTGATGGTAGGAGGCAAGATCCGAAAGCAGGGCCCGGGGAGGCAAGCGACCAGAATGTACAAAGAGCATTCATCTTACGAGATGTCTTCTTGAGGCTGGCAATCCTGGGACGACCACAGAGGTTCTCCTGGGAGACCTTTGAGAGAAGGAGCCGGGGATATGGTGTCCTGTGGAGATGCCAGGATGGGAGCTTACAGGACAGGAGCTGTGTGATGACAAGAGAGGCCATCTGTGGGCACAACTGTAGCTGTTCTACCCACACCATGAGAGAAATTGCTGGTAGGGTTGCTGGCTCTGCTCCCAGTGTGCTCTATAGCAAGAGAGCACCTGTTTGGCAAGTACCCCTCCCCAGGTCCTGTCTGTCCTTGGAGGCACAATCTCTTGGGACCCTCACTGCCAGCTGTGGAGGCTCCTGTCAGACCCGCTATGGACTGCCAGAAGCATTCTGAGTGCTTCTAGGGCGACACCTCCGAGGGGAAATGCAGGAACACAGACCCTGGGTTCCCAAGCTGGAAGATCTCACCTGGGAGTGCCAGACCCGGTGATGCTTGCTGTCCCTTTTGGGCCCCTTCTCAGGCACTCAGAGCCCTAAGGTGTAAGGCAGAGCTCTGGTCCTCCCTGTGGCCTTGACACAGGTTCTGCTCAGGAGTTCCAGGCCCGACTATCACGTGAGAGGGCAGTCTCCTCTAGAAAGCGGGCAGCCAGAAAAGGGAAGGCGCGAGAGACTGAGAGATCACCAAGACAGTGAGAGGCAGGACAAGGAACTCCAGCCAAGGCCTTCTAGCTCCCGATCACAGCCAGCTCCCAGGGAGTCTTGGGCACTGCGTGGGGTTCTCGTCCATTTGAGCCTCAAGGGCCTGGGAGACATTAGAGATGTGCTAATAGCAGCAGGGGTCTCCGTTGGACCCTCGGGATACCTAAAGGGGAAACAGAGGCTAGCTGTATTAAAATCATACAGCTTAAAGGTTAGTTCTGTCCCTCTGCCCCTCTCCTGGAGTTATTATTGTTTGTCAGTCCAGCCTTGCTAAAGGGCCTGCCGAGGAGGCCAGAGGGACAGGTTGATTAACCTGCCCTTGGTTTTCTTTGCCTCCACTGAAATAATAGTAAGTAGCACTTTTTGAACCTTCTATGTAATAAGCGTGGGTTCTGGGACCATTCTAGGGAAGTTCTAGGGACTTTCTAGGACTTTCACTTATTGCATTAATCCTCAAAACAACCCTGGAAATAGGCATTATTTTATGTTTGAAGAGACAGACTGAGAAAAGGCAAGGAACTTGTTCAAGATCACACAGCAATTTTTTTCACAGCTAGGAATCCAGTTCAGGACTGTCTGACTTCAGTGCTTCTTGTAACCATCAAGTTCTGTGCACATGCTGGTTGCTTCCAGGAAGAGAAGCGAAAGGCGGATATGAGGAGTGGCTAGGGTTAATGCTAATCCCTTGTCCACTTCCCTCCAAGGCATCAAGCCACAGCTTCCCTGCCAACTGTCCTAAAAAGAAATTGTTTTGGCTGTCCGGGTCTCCTCCATAAATTGGAGCAGCATCTGGTCTTTGCAGAGAGCCAAGCATTCCAAGAGCCCATAACCGAGGGTCCGCATGACTCCTGGTTTGAACGACCAGCTGGCACCAGCTCCCCTGGGAATGGCTGCGGGCAAAGTCTGATCTCCAGACCAGTTATTCATGTGCCCAAATTAGGAGACCCAGGAAAATGGTTCTGTTTATAGACCCCAGAGAGCATCCGAATCCCAAGTCTGCACCCCCGTTCTTTAGTGTTCCAGTAAAGATGTGGTTTCCACGTGAGAGCTCTGCCCTCCCCGACCCCACCCTCCCCCGGCCCCAAGCACCAATGCTTATGGAATCCAGGCGAAGCCAGGACAGCGGATCCTCCCAGGCATCCACACTGGGGCGGGTAGGGGATCTCTGCCTTTGTATACTCCGCAATCCAGTGTCCAGAATCCATTGATCTAAACCATGCGGAAAACACAGTTCTTTCCTAAGTGAGTTATCAGAACTCACGAGTGGCCAAACCCAGACCTGACTGTATGGTCTTTATCCCTTTCAATGGGAATATGCATGTTTTGCCTCAAAAATCAAGATGAGTGAGCTTGGCTATGTTGGGCTGCAGCTGCGTGTCACGTAATGTGGTATGCGCATCACCTCTCCCTTCTACAATCCCAACGTTGTGGAGTCTGGTCCCATGGGTTCCAGTTAAGGGGCTGAGGTCTTGCTATTTTACAATGCACTGTTTTCAAGCAGGAAGGTTATTTCCTGACCAGGAAGCAGATGTCTTACTTAGGTTCATAAAGAAAGCCTTCCCAACCCCCTGTGGTCACACTTGGTGCTGGGAATTCCATCCCCAAAAGCTTCACGCTTTTGTATTCTCTGAGAGGTGGATGAAACCAGAAGTCACATAGTTTTTTGTGGATCAGTCCTTCAGATTTTTCCTCTATGGGAGAAGGCAGCTTGTGACAAGTGGGTATTTATAGAGGGCCACCAAGTGCTACTGGGAAGGAAGATGGGATAGGGCAGAGGTCTCAGACAAACCGCAGGCGCTGGGTTTGGAGAGCCTGACGGACAGGCAGGTGGCGCTGGGGAGGGATCTAAACATAGCGCGGAGCCCGGCCGGGGAGATGGGCGAGTTAGCCCGGGCCCGCATCGCTCATCGTCTCTGCTCTGTAGTCCCCAAGGCGCAGCCATCTAGTGGCTTTCAAACTGCATAAACCCTTTCCTTGGCAGGGGTCCCCCGCGGCGGTCTGGGTCCGGACCAGGGAAAGGGCCCTGCACAATGGCTTCGCAGCTCTCCAGGTGGGCCTGAGCCGGAACGGCAGGTGCCAGACCCGGTGGTGGCAAAGGTGCAGCTCGCTGCAGGCGGCGCCACCCAGGGTGGACCGAGCGATCGTTTTCTATCGGAGGTGGCGAGGCCCGGGGAGTCTTGGGGCGCGTCTCTCCCGTTTTTGTGGGTTCCTGGTTATTTACAAATGGAGACATTTCAAAACAGGTATACACACATTTCGATCCATTTAAAGGCGTGCGTGGACCGCGCGGTCTTAACGCAGCCGGGCAGAGCCGGTCTGCGGCCGCGGAGCTCTCCGAGGGTCCTCGGGAGGCGAGGCGGGGCTGCCGGGGCGCCCCCTGCTGGAGGCGTCCGGCCGCGCTCAGTTGTACACTCGGGGTTGCCTGGAGCCGCTGGGGCTCTCACTGCGCCACATAGCGGCAGCGGCGGGAACGGCGGGGGCGCGCGGATCCGAACCCCCGCCCCGGCGTCCCCGCAGCAGAGGCAGCAAAGGGTTAAACTGTCAGCGGCGCGATGTTAAACAGGTGTCAAAGGCGCCCCATATATCTGCAGATTGAAATCAAATTCTTTGCCGTATAAAAAGATAAATTACCCAGGCGCTGCCGCGCGTCCCACTCATCACGCCAGCGCCAGACGGCAAGCAATTTTTTTTTTTAATGTGCTAACGACCTAATCAAGCAATCAAGTCGGAGAAGATTGCAGAGTGACCCGGGCAGCCATCTGCCGGCGAGCCCCGCATTCATTTCCCGCGCCCCCGCACAGGGTGGGGGCCGGAGAGGGAGCTGCCGGGGGGAAGAGGGGGAAAAAATCCTAAACAAATTAACACCCAATTTTCCCCGTCTAATTAGTTAAATGAGAAGTGTTTGGGGTCCCCCGGGGAGGGGGAGCGGCTCGCGGCGCGGCTCGCGCTGCCTCCCCAGCATTAATTAGTGCGGGTCAATGCCGCGGCTCCCGAGAGAACAGCCGCTTTAATTTCCCGTGATATTTCAGTGCCTGAGGCCCATCGATTCAAACAGAAATTAACTTATTTTTCAATCAGCCCAGGGCTGCCCCTGGGGGTGACTCTTCTTTTGCCGCCTCCTGAATAGAGCTGGAGCAATTTTTCATCAAAAGCTGAAACCTCCGCCTCCGGGGGCGGGGGAGGGGCCCAGAGGGAAGGGGGCGGGAGACCCGGCTGAGGCGAGGGAATGGAAATCGCAGAGGAAACTAATAGATTTTCCCCGAACCCGCCTCTGTTCTCCCCCTCATCTCCCTACTTCCCGGGGCGCCTTGGGCGTCTCGCCATTCCGGAGGTCAGGGCCCGGAGGGGCTGCGAGGGGACGGGAGGGGGCCGCTGGTTGGGCCTGGGATCCTTCCAGAGCCCACCGGTTTCTCGAAGGCCTTTCACCTGCCTGGGGACAGTGCAGCTGCCCCTGGCGCTGGCTCCTGTCAGCCGCCGGAAGTCTTAGGAAAGCTGCTTTGGGAGACCGAGAAATCTCCCTTCCCCCAAGCATGACAGGGACCGCTCCGAGCACGGGGCTGGAGCTCTACCGACACCTCCAGGGTACCCCCGTGCCCTGCACCAGTCAGCTTTGGGGCCAGAGAAACATTCTCCAGGGTGTCCCCATGCAGGGGTGCAGGGCCCCCCACTGCACCCTCCTAGGTCCCCATGCCCCTTTCTCTGCACACCAGAAGAATTTTGTCTTCCTTGCCTGACTGAGGGATGGCTGCCCAGCTCCTCTGCATTATCATTCAGGGTTAGGGCCAGAACTGTGGGGAGCTGGTGAATGGAGGGCACTTAGGAGGGCTTAGAAAGGAGGCTGACTTGGGCCTCCTGGGGGTGTCCCCCAGGGTTCCTGCTACCTGGATGCCATGCCCTTTGATGCCTGAGTCCACACCTGCCTGGCTTCAAGGCCGGTTCGGCCCCTGGGGTTCTGGTGGAGAGGGAGACCCGAACAAGATGCATGGCTAGTCCAGCCCCTGGAAGGAATGTGTCCCTCTGCAAGTCAAAAACGGGATTCTGTCTGTACGCTGGAGGTGTGACCACTTTCAAGAGAGCTACCCAGGTGGGGCTTCTCGGCAGCAAACCATTTCCATGCTGGGAACTGCCCATCTCAAGAGCCTGACCCAGAGGCCTCTGCCCGTCATCCTAGAACTGCTTTGATTTAAAAAAGAAAAAGAAAAAAAAGGACCCATTTCACCCATCACGTTCTTATAGGACTGAGTGACCTCCTTCTAGGCATTCTGAGCCTGGAGAATCCCCAGGGGGGTACCATGGAGTGGGGAAAGTTCAATGAAGGCACCCTGCTGGAGAAACTAGCAGTCCTGGGGATGCAGCCCTAGCAATCAAAGGAGTGGGGACCTGCACAGGGGGCCTCCGGGGTAAGGGCCTGGCCTCAGTGCCCCTCAGAACACACCCCTAGCCCTGTTCATCCTCACTTGCAGGTCTGGTTCCAGAACCGCAGGGCCAAGTGGAGGAAACGGGAGAAGTGCTGGGGCCGGAGCAGCGTCATGGCGGAGTACGGGCTCTACGGGGCCATGGTGCGGCACTCTATCCCCCTGCCAGAGTCCATCCTCAAGTCCGCCAAGGACGGCATCATGGACTCCTGTGCCCCGTGGCTGCTGGGTAAGAGCCCGCAACCTCCTTGGGGCCCTGCCCCTGTGGTGAGGAGAGCGGGCTCCCTGGAGGAGGAGGCAGAGCTCTGGAGCAGGGAGACCCGGCCACAACGGGCCACCTAGCAGGACAGACGCACTCCAGAGCAGGTCTCCTAGATCCGCTCAGGAGGCTCAGCGGGGCAGGCTGGGCCCGGGGCTTGCTGTCTATGCCCTGGGCCCCTGGGTTCTTTTGTACTGTGAGAAGGGTATGGCTGTTGGCCCAGGGTCTGTACCCTTCTCTTCACTTGGCCAGAGGTGGGCTTGTGGTGAATGAAACAGCTTCTCTTGGGGCCTGAGGGGACCCCTCGGACCCTCTGGCCACCATTCTGGCTTTGCCCAAAGGACTTCTTCCCCCTGAAATCTCTCCACGTGCCATCTTCCCCCCACCTGCCCTCGGGGCCTATGTCTGGTAGCGGCACCAGCTTATCTTGGGTTTCTATGATCTAGAATCCCAGGAGGGAGGGACGGGGCGCACATGCTACGCTTGGGAAGGGGCAGAGCAGGCGGTGGCCAGGTGCCCAGGGACCTGACTTGAAGAAGCCCTCGGCAGGCCTGGGGCCCAGCTGCTGGTCTGCAGCGCCAGCCCTAGCCCCTGGCCACCCTCCCGCTGCCCCAGCCCCGGCCCCTGGGACTCGCGTGACTGCGGTGTGTGAAGTAAGGCTTTCTGCTCGTCCTTAATTCTGGCCTCTCTCTATCTTTGCCGTTTTCAGTTCAAGATGGCTTTCCCAGGCGCTTTTCTAAACCCGAATACCAACAATTCTTTTTAGGGATGCACAAAAAGTCGCTGGAGGCTGCCGCGGAGTCGGGGAGGAAGCCCGAGGTGGAGCGCCAGGCCCCGCCCAGACTGGACAAGATGGAGCCGGAGGAGCGGGGCCCCGACCCTCCAGCGGCCATGTCCCAGGAGGAACTGAGAGAGAACAGCATTGCCGCGCTCCGAGCCAGAGCTCAGGAGCACAGCACCAAAGTGCTGGGGACTGTGTCTGGGCCCGACAGCCTGGCCCGGAACGCCATGGAGCCCGAGGAGGAGGAGGCCATGGACGAAGACAGGCCCACGGAGAAGCTGAGTCCGCTGCAGCTGGAGGACATGGCTTAGATCAAGGGCTCCCAGATCCCGAGCCCCAGGACTCTGCTCTCCTCGGGGCCTGGGGTGTTGGGAGGTTTTCTTGAGGCAGGGCTCGGGCCTGGCCTCTGCCACCCTCCTCCTGCCCCACTGGGGCCCCCATGACCCCCGGGCTGATTTCAGGCACAACTCAGTTCTGGCCAAGGATTTGGGCCGTGCTGAGACACCCCCTATTTAGTCTTGACCTCTCCGGCATCTTCCTCCTCATCCCAACATTCCTGCCTCAGAAGCCTTCTTGCTGCCCCAAACCATCCCCTCAAGCCACTTTCACTCAACCCCTTGGTGACGCTCAGTGTCCAGATCCACCCCTCACTCTCTGTTCTCTTGCTTGAAAGAGGCCCCCCACCCCCGCTCCCCAGCTCTCTACCCCCTGTGGATTCTGCTCTGCCCAGGCCCAAAGCCCGCTGCTGTCAACCCATTACCTGCCGCAACAGTACCAGGGAACGAGGACCTGCATTCTAGTACCAGTGTCCTGAGCTCCCCAGGCTTCAGCAAAACTGTGCTCCTCGGCCTGTTCCCTCCTGAGGGCCTGGGCCTCCACAGTGTGGATATTACCCCCCCAAACACACACCCATAGGCCCAGGCTCAGCCTCTGCCCCACCCCATCGATGGGGCCCAGATTCCAGGTTAAACTTGGAAGGTGTCCTCCTGAGCCCCTCAGCCCCCCTCCATCTCATGTCCTCTGTAGTCACCCTCGTGAACCTGCCTGCCCTCTCCACACACACCCCCCCGCCGCCTGCCCCACCGCTTTCCCCAGCATGAGGCCACGGACAGTAGTACCTGTAGAGTCCAGGGCCTGTGCCCTGCAGACAGCAGGCACCTGTCACAAATGCTGTGGTCAGGGCACTGTTGGGGAGGCCAGACTCTTACCCAGAGCCTTTGGGCCTGCGTTCTGAAGCATCCTGACCACCCCGCCATATACTACCCACGACTCTGATTTGCTGTGCAAGACACCCTTCTAGAGCTTCTTGCTGTTCATTGGGGCGCGTGTGTCCCGCCTGTCCAACCCGATCTAGCCATTAAATGAACACACGGGAAGCCACAAATCTTGGCTCGACTTGATCCAGGCCATCCCTGGGAGGTGAAGCCTGGAGCGGACTTGGAGTTATTACAGGCATCAAGGAGTGGCCACAAAAAGGGTACGAGAAAGGGCTCAAAGGAGAGCAAGGCAGGAGCCAGGATTAGACTCTAACTAAGCAACAGGTACACGCACCTGCCCGGTGTGTGCTGTGGCATCTGTCTGTAAGAATAGGACGGACACGGTGACCGTGGAGGAATAGGGGACTGGGGGCTTCTTCCTGTCTGGTGATGGGAGGAAATTCCACCTGGGATGTTCTCTCCGAAGCTGCCCCCTCCAACCCCCAGGCCAGGCCTGGGTCACCCTCATGCCCTTGACATTTCCCTCTACCGTTCCACCCACCTTTGCAGGGAATACCTCGCAAGAGAAAGGCCTGAGACAGTGAGTTTGGATTTTAATTCCGTATCAAAAGTTGATTTCTTCCTCATTCTGTTCATGGAACCCCCCTCTTCTCCATGTCTTTGTCCCCTGTTGGTTTGAAGTGTTAGAGACTTTAGCCCCCGGTGTGTAAATACTGTACATAGAAGTGGGAAGAAAGAAACTTGATATTGAAGTGTTTGAAATATGGAAATGTAATAACTCTAGGTATTCTAAACCTGTGATTTCTGTGCCATTTTCTGTAAAGATACAAGTAAGAATAAAATTGATGTAAAAACATCAGGGGAGGGATCCAGGAATCCTCCGTGGGTGAGGACGGTGTATGAATGGGTAGCATAAAAAGTAAATCCATGAAGACATTTTTAAATCAAAATTACCAGATTCCTCTTTTGAAATGACTCCAACTTTAAAGGCATAGGGGCCTGTCTTTCTCCGCTGAGCTGACACCAACTTCCAATGACATTTGTCACTGTGATAGGAGACCCTCCTCCACTGTAGACACAACTGAATTATCCCAGCCATGGAGCCCCTAAGTTATTACCTACGACTCCCCGCTGCTCCCCACACAACGGATTAGCTAACCTTTCCCTCTGGCATAATTTACTTATTAACAACCCTATTTCCTTCATGCCTCATCCCACCTTGGCCCCTGAGAGTCCTGACTCCCTCCTTTTGTGTCCACGTGTGCACTCTAGAATCTTGCCTACAACTCAAACACAACAACAACCAGTGGGAAAGGCAGTGTTATCTGGAACTGAAGTCAAACAGACCTATGCTAAGAGCCTGTTAAAGAGAAGGGAAGTAAACAGGAGAAGGCGCGGGGAAGGACTGCAAGAAATTGCCGGCAGACAGCGGAGACCCATCGGCTCCATGGTGTGTTGGACGGAATTACAAGAGGAGAGGGAGGGAGCAGACCAGATAGGTTATATTTGAGCTTTGGGCTCAAGAAATCTCATAAGATTGTTTCAGATTGCCTCAGATGGGGAACGCCTTCTCAGAAGAGATTTTTCTGGCCGGCCGTCATCGGAGGAGAGTGACAGGTGATCAGCAGTCCCTGTATACTTCATTGGGAGCTGATCTAATCCTTCTGAACCCAGAACCTGGAGGGCCCATGTGGGACATCTCCAAGTGCTATGCGGTGAAAGGACAGGTCCAAGAACCTGGCTTCAAGTCCTGCCCACACACACTCCCGTATGCCTTCCCTGAGCATGTCAGGTCCCCGCAGGTGTCCCTGTTGGCTTAGCAATGCCCTTCCTCCCCACCCTGCCCATGGGCACCCCTCCAGGAGACACACTGACACTTCTCCCTCAAGTCCCTCCTCCCTGGAGCCTTCCTGATCCTCCAGGGAGAGTTTATAACCTCTGTTCTCCCCCAGCACCTGTGACATCCCACCATTATCGCATTGTGTGTGTCATACTGTATGCTTGTAATTTACATGTCCATCTTCCTCATGAGACTGATTTCTTCAGGGGTGGGGATCATATCTTATTCATCTTTTATTCCCAGGAACCATCAAAGGGCCTGACAGTCTACTGTTGAATGAAGGAGTGAATGCTCTTTCTCTAACTTGTCCTTTCAATAATTTAGAAACACTGATTGAGCATCTACTGTGTACCAGGCAGTGAGGCAAGACACTGGGGATACAGTGGTCCCAAAGCATCTCACTTGGAGGGAAAGATAGACAGAATTCAAGTAAGCACACAAGGAAAACACAAAATTGCACGTGTCCTAAGGCCTTGGAGGCATGAGGTAGGGGCCATGAAAGCGTGTCCATGGGACTTGAGTGAAGGTGTTGACCTCTGTGCCTCTCCTGGAAATGATAACATCTGCCCCTCTGGTGTCCTTCCTCCAGAGAGGAAGCAGCAAGGATATTGGCCAAGGAGCCACATGAAGGAAGGTGGCCACACCAACATAAACTTCTCAAATCCGGCAGCCAACTTTGGCATCTGTCCCCCTCAGTTACATCTGGGGGACGACTTGGACACTGAAGGACTTGGGAGATGACAACCACCCCGGGGGTTGACCTTGGGAAGAGGCATGCTGCTTTCTGCTGGGGGACAGGCAAGCAAACCCACAGGTAATCAGTGAAGGGAGAGGTGGGGACACTGCTAAGGGAACACACGGGCCAGGAAAGGAAGGGCTTGGCCAGCTGGGAAATAAACAAAGGGAAATCTCCAGTGCCGCCTGTACCCTGGCAAGGACTTCTCCCCACGGATCTCAGAACTCGGCACCTGGGAGGAGAGCTTTTTCCACACTTCCCAGGCCCAACAGGCTGCCCAGAGAGGGCTACACTCGCCAGGACAAGCAAGAGAGTGATGCAACGGCAGGGGGACTGATATATGTGGACTGCCAGCTGCTTGGAGCTGCTGAGCATGGCCAGGCATGGATAGATGACGAGTCTGCCTGGTGGCAGGAGGTGACAAGGGAGGGCAGGAGATTGGAGGGACCATGGGGATGGGTCCATTCAGCCTCCTCTGTCTCCTGTGCCCCCAGCTCACCAGGATCTCGGAGTCTTCCTCCTGCTCTCACCAGAGGGATAGTCCCATCTCCTCCCCGACTCCCCTGGGGACCTAGGGCTGTGACACCTGGGTCACCAGCGGTAGCAAAGGTACCATACTCGTGGGAGATGTTAATCATAAGGAAACCTGGTGAGGGGCTGATGGGAACTCTGTGCTAGCTTCACGATTTTTCTATAAATCTAAAATTATTGCAAAAAAATTAAGTTTACTTAAAAAAAAAAGATAAACTGGTTTGTTTTTTCGAGGGAAAACTACAGATGGCTTCTTTGGGTTAGAACAAGTGCCAGGGCTGCCCCTTTCCCTGCTTTACCCCAGGGCTCTGCTTACTGAATGTCCCTGTCCCCGATCTCCCCAAGACCACCCAGGCACCCCCACCCCCACCCTGGGGAGCTGAAACAGGGTCTTCTGCTCTTTCCTCAACTCCAGCAGCAACGACGTCTCTGGGTCGTCACAGCTGAGCGGGCCCAGCAGTGCTCTGCTCCCCTAACTTCTCACTCAGATCAATCCCTTCCCATGCTAACTCTTCTCAGTGGACCTCAGGCTCCTCCCCACTGAGCACCTCGCCTCTGAACAAGGGCCCCCTAGCTTTACCTGCAAGGCTCTGCTCCCACATTGGACTTCAGGAAGTTTGACACAGGAAGGAGTCAGGGAGTGAGAAGCTGGCCTCCTGCTGAGCTGCCGAATGACAAAAGCCGTCTGTGTGCTCACAGCCTTGAGCCTGGATAACCACCACCTCCCAGCCTCGCTTGGTGCTCAGGAGGTCAAAGAACAAAGGTGGGTTGACCAGGGTGACCATGGTGAACCCCTATGGGAGAGGGAAGAAGAGGAAAATTTGCCCTATTTCCTCCACACAGCTCCGGTGAGAAGAGACCAGTAGACTGCCCAGAAGTAGAAACAAAGGATTAAAAACCAAATCTGGGGACGCCTGGGTGGCTCAGTTGGTTAAGCAGCTGCCTTTGGCTCAGGTCATGATCCCAGCGTCCTGGGATCGAGTCCCA